AAGACGAGAAATGAGAGACATTTAGCCGAGATGGGGCGAATACGGATCCATTCGATGCAGGATTATTGCTCGTTCTCTAGGAAATCAGCAAGAAAGGTACTCTTTTTGCGACGATGGTACTTTTGCATAGTATTTTTACATCAGACGAAGCTACGATAGCGGCTTTATCAGCAGTAATGATGGAAGCACACCTCCGGGGGTATCCCCCGGCTCTCTCTCTCACTGCGTTGGCAAAGTTCGTTAAACTATCTGGCGGTCCCTGAAAAGATACTCTTTCCAGGATGTACCCTGGATTACCCAAGTACCTGTCTTTCGTATAAAGGGACGAGTCGGGTTGCGTGGGTCTATTCGGCTTGAGCAATCTACCCTTCTCAATTGGACGTGGTCATGACTCGTGCGTTTTGTCGGCACGTTTTGGTAATCTGGAAACATAGATTCTCTAGGATTTTGGTTTCTGGATCCGATAAGATGGCCGATTAAAGTAACGAGGGATAGGAGAGGCCTGACCGTTGGTCACGAATTTTTCAGCGGTACCGGATAGGACTTATGTGGTGGTTCAATTTTTTTGCTTCTAGGCGAATGAAGTAGACATTTGTAAATTTGCGGATATAAGAATTTTCGTTCTTTTGAATTCCTGGCGACAAGGGCAATAGGATTGCGGATGGTAGAATAAGCGTTTTTCTGTTTTCTTCTTTTCTGTATAATTTTATGTTGTTTTTGATCGTGTTTTTTTGTGTAGGAACCAGGACAAGAAGTGCAGGATGGTTCAACAATGTTTTTGTGTAGGAACCAGGATAAGAAATGTAGGATGGTTCAACAATTTTTTTGTGTAGGAACCAGGTCAGAAAATGCATTGTGGTTCAACAATTTCACTTGAGAAAGGTGAATAGACACCCGCACGTTTATAGGAATTTATGTATTTTGAAAAGAGTTCGGTAAAACGATCCGGAGATCCGATCGTTACATAAACGAAAATGGGTACTGAGCACTATCGATGTTTCTGTCCTTTCTCGTTAGTTGCTACTGATTAAATGTTTATGGAAAAAAGTTGTCAGACCTAATTTGAGATCTGCACCAGGATCCGGGATTTGTGGAAGACAAAATTGGAAGTAAAGTTGGTCCGGAATTCCAGGACCTGATTAGAGATGAACGATATTTTTGGTGGGAACTCCGAGCGATATCTTAACCTCTCAAAGTACTCCCATGCATTGTATACGGGTGTAATAGGAAGGCAGTTAGGAACCAGCTGCAGCATTAACCTGGGGAAGAATCGTGATAACTTACTTGAATCTGGATGGATGTAATTGGATAGCAGAACGGGAACAGGTGGGGTAGAGGGAATAGCACGTGCATTGGATATGACGAGTAGGCTAGCCTAAGCAGTTGTAGAGTAACGGGAAGTAGAGTAGACGAGTCCTTCTTAGCATCTCCACTGGGTAGGTAGCGATTGCACGCCAATTTTCCTAGTATTTAAGGGAGCAGGGTCGTGAGCTCCGCACACACTCACATGGGCGTGTGCTGAATCATTTGTGAAAAGCCCCCTGATGAGTTGCCGTTTGCGCCGGCAACGAAACGCGTCGGGGCGACACGTATGGATATCTCAAAGATGTTGGTTTAATGGAGTATGAGACATGGTCGAGTGGAACTACTGTCTATCAGAGTGCATCTTCGGACTCTTCTTATCTTGAATCTCAATGAACATGGTAACCGACGTGTGAAGACAGTGGATCGGTGGCTACGCAGGGAGTGAGGTTTTTTGGAAGCTTCGTGAGGTTTTTTGAAGCTTGTAGAGATTCAAGGTGCGTTCGGTTTTTGAGGGATGATCAGCCTGAGAGCGGCGAGGAACTTTGGATACATTTTGGTGATCCTTGTGAGTAGTTGTGCGGTGTTACACGGGACGAGCGGTAGAGGTAGTGGAGGTGGTTGGAAATTGGACGTGCATATATCGATTACGTGGAGATTGGAAGGAGTTTAGATAGGGATGTCGACTCAGAATTTCAGAGACATAGAACTAGAACGTAAGTGGATTGAGCTACAGAGACTAATCGAATATATGTTAACCCCAACGATTTTTGTAGCATTACATTTCAGAGATCAGGCTTCGAGGGAGGAGGCGATTGAGTATATTGAAATAGTTTTAGGACAGGTACATAGTATCGGTTGTCTAGTGCGGAACCAAAGGTATAGGAGGAGAAAACAGACGGGTAGAAGATAAGGAGATGGTGAATAATCCGTTCATGACGCAACCACCTGTTCAGACATACGGTGGCAATGCGCAAGCAGTGAACCCAATGAGCAGTCCGCAGATCCAATGCTATCTGTGCGAAAAATACGGGCATTATGCTCGTAACTGCTGGACGGCCGGGAATGGACGTCCGCCTCAACAGTTTCAGCAGGTTCAACTGCCCGCTCCTGCAACTGATGACGATACAGCGGAAATGAAAGCATATTTTAGGAAGAAGATGCTGAAGCAGAAGGCAGAGGAGGAAAAGCGTGGAAGGGAGATGGAAGAGAAGAGGAGAAAACTTGATGAAGAAACCAGGGAAGCCGAGAGATTGAGAGAGGTTGAAGCGAGGGAAGCGCGGCTCGAAGCAAGACTTGTTAAACTGATGACCCAGCACACCAAGTCGGTGAGCCAGAGGACTGTTCTATTGACCAGGAAGAAGTCTCCAAAGACAAAAGCATTGATGCTTCGAGAGATATGCAGTTACATTGATGAATCAGAAGACGAGAGCGACGAGGTTAGAGAGGAAGCGGCACGTTTGGTTGACGCGATTGAAAGAAGGAAAGGAATAAGGAGGGTCGAAGTAGGAAAGGAGGTTTCTACAACAAGAGCGAGGGCGACGAAGGCTGCACCGATCATCATCCATGACGTACCTGATGATGTGCATACTCCTCCGGCCAGGGGGAAGGCAGCAAACATAGACGCTTCCGGTGGACAAATGCTAGAGTACGTACTTGAGATGTATCGGACTCTCTCAGCAAAGAAGGCTCCCGAACTTCGTAAGATCTGCAATGACGAAGGTATTGAGTGGAAACGGAAGGATCAAGCGGTGAGTGAGATTGTAAAATGCCGGGCGCGATTGGCATACGGTGAAGTAGACGACTCGGCACACATCTCTGCTCTGGCAAAGACGTAAGTAAAGCTCCATGGACTTGCTCAAAGGGATGATGTTAGATAGGGGAAGGAGGGTATCTAACTAGCATTGTACGCTAGTGGGAGATCTAGAGGACAAGATAATTCGGAGATTCGTGTTAGTGGTCGTTCGCGGTGAGTGCCCTTGGGCGAGAAAATGGGTTGGGATGTTGGGAGAGGATGTGGAGAATCTTACTACTAGGGGAACTGGTGTGTACGTACTGATCAGTCCATGGTGCAGACACACATACATTGGGTGTACAACCAGGAGATTTTTACTCAGATGGACTGAGCACGTTAGATTCGCCATCACGGGGAAAATTGGGAATGCTAAAAAACTACACGCTTGGTTGAAGGTCTTCGGATGAGAAAAATATCTTATTTTACCTGTTCTGGTTGTAAAGTTCTACTGAGAAAAAACAGATGATTAAGAGTTCTTTTAGGAAAATGGTGTATAACACATCTACCAGGACGAAAACCAAATACTTGCGCACCCATAGGCGGTCGAATTGAACCGAAGTATTCTCGAATATTCAAATCTTGATACAATAATTCTCCATAATAATAAATTGAGTCAAGAGTTAAACTGATAGACCGTAGTAAAACGTTCTATTCAGTCGTAACAAGTGCTCTCCGAACCGTGCGAGATAGTCGCCCATCACACGACTCTCCAACCTGAGTAACCTTTGTGGCGTGCCTGACACAGTGGAATTTGCAGAGTAACGGATCCACTGTATGCTGAAAGGATGCTGATAAAAAGATACTCACCTGCCCTGAACTGCCATGGTCGTGGAGATAGCGGAAAGAAGAAGAGAAGAAGGAAAGGAAAGAGAGAGAGAGGGAAGAGGGGAGCACAGGTGAGGCAAGGGCGGGTGATTTCATTCAATAGATCGACATCACTAATCGGTATCCTGAGAGTTATGGCCGAGAAAGGGAGACATTGCGAGCTTATTTTGAGTGGCGGCGAAATTTGGAATGACAGGTGGAAGGTCGTTAAAGGGAAGGTAGGAGAGAGGACAATTGTATGTCGGGGTAGGCACCTTCCTATAAAATCGTGTAAGAAGGATTTGGAAGAAGGAGGGACGTTCGTGGTGGTCCGTGTCCGGATCACATCTTGCGCGGTTGAGCATAGACGATATGTACTTCGGGATCTGCTGAGACAACCATGGAGAATAAGGGATATATACCGGAAAGGTTCAGCGAAACTCCTTGCTCTGTATAAAACCGCGAGTACGTTTGGGAAGAAGAGTACTCGTGGTCAGTTGAAGGTGAAGCTAACGAGGGTAATTAAGAGGAAGCACGGGACAGATTAGGAAGAGACCCCATGTGAAACTACCATTTTCGACTGGGGTAAGACCAGGGGTAGTGAGAGAAGTGACCGGCCGCGTTGTGGAACGGTTGATCGGGGATATCCATCTTCGGAAGCATGTTGCATCCAAGGTACGAGTTGTTTCTCGAAGAAGATCCACCGTGGGGTAACTCATCCACAACCACTGGTTGTGCGCAGCAGCTAAGAAAGTAGTCTGCACCTGCGCGAAAATGGAACTGCCCAGATCGCAGGGCTATGTTAAGGTACGAATTGATGATGTCCCAGGGACTCCGATGTTCGTGATGAACTCGAAGAATGTGACGTATGGAGACCGCCTTTCACTAGAAGAATTGCGTGCATGCATAGGGGAAGTGGTGAAACCATGGAGCAAGGGAAAAGAGGTGAGGATCGATTCAGGGGAATTGAGTTCCTGTTTTATTGGGGTGGCCGATCGTCAGATTAGAGCCACGACAGGGGAAGAAGTTAAGATTTGGTTCCGGTCGATTGAGCATCTAATTACGGTTCCGATAGATCGGAATCCAGGAGCGACGCTGGTTATCTTTCCGGTGCTGTATCATCAAGCGTGTGAACTGACTTTTAATTCTAACCCCAGCTATCAGCCAAATGGAAGGATGGAAGGTGAAGTGATCAGATCAATGAAGAGAGCATACGAACGAGATGGGCTTCAGAAGATCGCAGCATACGGAAAAGGAGGGGAGATTGGACAAGCTTATGTCTTGCCGAAAGATAAGGGTTTGGAGAGGTGCAGACCGATCTCCCCTGCGATCAAGGACCCCGCCACGATCAAGGACCCCGCCAGGCTGGCGGGCTCGCGGGTTGGCAGAGTTGTAAGATTCATGATGTTTGGGATTGGGGAAGCGAAACATTTTGATCTACGCTCGACAGATGAGCTGCGCGGGCGCGCGGGAAGGATCCAAGACGAGTTGGCGAAGACACATGACGGCGCCACAGTCAGATGCTTTGACATTAAGGATATGTTCGCAAGACTATTCCACGGTAGTGTTCTGGACGCCGTGCGGTGGGTCTGTGATATCCATCGTAGCAGGAATCTCTGTGGGGTCAAAGTAAGTTCGAGAGGAAAGACATGTCGGATGGCGAGGAGTAGGAGAAAAGAGGAGGGATTTGTGTTTCTCGATTTTGAAAAAGTGTTGAAAGCTGTTAGATTTGAATTAAAGAACACCTACATCAGGGGCACAGGGGGATTACTCAGACAGATGTTTGGGATTCCAATGGGGAGGAGCTCCAACCCAGCCCTGACATGTTTGGTCTGTGCAAGGTCGGAAGCGCAGTTTCTAGATTCATTGGGGAGAGATTGCAAGATCGTGAAGGGTTTGAGAATGATTGATGATGTTTCTGTATTCGTGGGCTTTGACACAACGGATGGCGAATCGGAGCGGAAAGCGTTAAGTATTCTTGACCGTTTTTCAGGATGCTATGACCAGAGCTTGACTTTGGTAAGAAAGGACAAAGGAAGCAATTCCTTTGAATTTTTCGGAGCACATATGATGGTTCAATCCGCTCCTATAATCATCCGCATTTTCCCGAAGACGAGAAATGAGAGACATTTAGCCGAGATGAAGGAAATCCGGATCCATTCGATGCAGCATTATTGCCCGTTCTCTAGGAAATCAGCCAAGAAAGCTACTCTTTTTACGACGATGGTACGTTTGCATCGTGTTTCTACATCAGACAAAGCTACGATAGCGACTTTATGAGCAATAATGATGGAAGCACGCCTCCGGGGGTATCCCCCGGCTCTCTCTCTCACTGCGTTGGCAAAGTTTTCTAAACTATCTGACAGTCCCTTTTCTAAACTATCTGGCAGTCCCTGGAAAGATACTCTTTCCAGGATGTACCCTGGATTACCCAAGTACCTGTCTTTCGTATAAAGGGACGAGTCGGGTTGCGTGGGTCTATTCGGCTTGAGCAGTCTACCCTTCTCTATTGGACGTGGTCATGACTCGTGCGTTTTGTCAGCACGGTTTGGTAATTTGGAAACATAGATTCTCTAGGATTTTGGTTTTTGGATCCGATAAGATCGCCGATTAAAGTAACGAGGGATAGGAGAGGCGTGACCGTTGGTAACGATTTTTTCGGCGGTACCGGACATGACTTATGTGGTGGTTCGGTTTTTTTGCTTCTAGGCGAATGAAGTAGACACTCGTAAATTTGCGGATATAGGAATTTTTGTTCTTTTGAATTCCTGGCGACAAGGGCAATAGGATTGCGGATGGTAGAATAAGCGTTTTTCTGTTTTCTTCTTTTTTGTATAATTTTATGTTGTCTTTGACCATGTTTTTTTGTGTAGGAACCAGGACAAGAAGTGCAGGATGGTTCAACAATTTTTTTGTGTAGGAACCAGAACAAGAAATGCAGGATGGTTCAACAATTGTTTTATGTAGGAACCAGGTCAGAAAACGAAGTGTGGTTCAACAATTTCACTTGAGAAAGGTGAATAGACACCCCCACGTTTATAGGAATTTATGTATTTTGAAAAGAGTTCGGTAAAACGATCCGGAGATCCGATCGTTACATAAACGAAAAAGGGTACAGAGCACTGTCGATGTCTGTGTCCTTTCCCGTTAGTTGCTGCTGATTAAATGTTTCCGGGAAAAAGTTGCCAGGCCTAATTTGAGATCTGCACCAGGATCCGGGATTTGTGGAAGACAAAATTGGAAGTAAAGTTTGTCCAGAATTCCAGGACCTGATTAGAGATGAACAATATTTTTGGTGGGAACTCCGAGCGGTATCTTAACCTCTCAAAGTACTCCCATGCATTGTATACGGGTGTAATAGGAAGGAAGTTAGGAACTAGCCGCAACATTAACCTGGGGAAGAATCGTGATAACTTACCTGAATCTGGATGGATGTACTCGGATAGCAGAACGGGAATAGGTGGGGTAGAGGGAATAGCACGTGCGTCGGATATGACGAGTAGGCTAGCCTAAGTAGTTGTAGAGTAACGGGAAGTAGAGTAGATGAGTCCTTCTTAGCATCTCCACTGGGTAGGTAGCGATTGCATGCCAGTTTTCCTAGTATTTAAGGGAGCAGGGTCGTGAGCTCCGCACACACTCACATGGGCTTGTGCTGAATCATTTGTGAAAAGCCCCCTGATGAGTTGTCGTTTGCGCTGGCAACGAAACGCGTCGGGGCGACGCGTATGGATATCTCGAAGATGTTGGTTTAATGGAGTATGAGACATGGTCGAGTGGAACTACTGTCTATCAGAGTGCATCTTCGGACTCTTCTT